TAGGAGTAAATATACAGGGGAGGTTTTGGTGATCATATGGGTTGCTGCGCTCTGATTGGTCGCTCGGTGTCCTGGTTTGACATAGCCTAGTTTAATTAGGTGGCACGCTGACGATGTAACAGGAAGTCAGTTTTGGGGAAAAGGTGTTTCAAGAGTTGGTGAGAGGAAAAAAAATAACTAGCTGTATGTGGGGAAAGTACGTTCAATATAAAGCCAATTTGAGAATATATTTGGACAGGGAGTCGGAGAGTGATTTTTGATTATTTTTGGGGGGATTATTATGATTTGACCTGGAGTATTTCACTTTTTTCTCCAATTAATTACTTATTACCGTAAATTCCGGACTATAAGCCACCACTTTTTTCTCACACTTTGGACCCTGGGGCAAAACAAAACTTCAAATACATCGCAAAAATCGCAACACTGATACTTTTTGCAAAATTTGACACAGAAATTTCAGTTCAGTTAAAATTAAAAATGTAATTGATCACTTAATACTGGTGAAACTGTGACATACTACTACTACTACTACTACTACTACTACTACTACTACTACTACTACTACTACTACTGCTACTACTACAAGTACTACTACTACTACAACAAGTACTACTACTACAACAAGTACTATTACTACTACTACAACTACAAGTACTACTACTACTACTAATACTACAACTACTACAAGTACTACTACTACTACTAATACTAATACTACAACTACTACAAGTACTACTACTACTACAACAAGCACTACTACTACAACAAGTACTATTAGTACTACTACAACTACAAGTACTACTACTACTACTAATACTAATACTACAACTACTACAAGTACTACTACTACTAATACTAATACTACAACTACTACAAGTACTACTACTACTACTATTACTACAAGTACTACTACTACTACTACTACTACTACAAATACTACTACAAATACTACTACTACTACTACAACTACTACAAGAACTACTACTACGACTACAAGTACTACTACAACTACTACAACTACAACAACTACTACTACAACAACAGCTACTACTACAACTACTACTACTACAGCAACTACAACTACAACAACTACTACAACTAATAATAATAACAACTAACACAAGAACTAAATAAGGAAAATCATATCTAAAATTTAACTTTTTACACAACATTTTTCAAAAAACAAAACAAAACAAAATCTTTCTGTCTCTGTCAACCTTGGTAATATTTTTAGTTTCTTAAAGGTGCACTGTGTAACTTTTCTGTTTTTTCTCCATGGAGATGTTATTGCTTTGTCTGGAATGTTGTTAGACCAAGTTACAGGTCAGATCTGTGGAGAGGCAACCCCGCTCACAGTCAGAACACCTGTTTTTCTAAGTATTTTTGAGCTATAAAACCACTTGTAATTTAATAAATATAAAGTGGAGAAGCAATGACACATCTGTCAAAACAAGCAGGTGACGGACCCGAAACCAAAAAGTTACATAGTGCACCTTTAAGATAATAAAAAAGCATGGTGTCATAAAAAATGGGGGACCTGTTTGGCTCTCTTATTAAAAAATGTAAACATAGCAATTGTTTGTGTAATTAAAATTTTTACTAACATGATCAACATTTAAATCCTTCGTTTTCCCCTTAAATCCACGCGTACGTTACTCCCGTTTGTGTTCAAGGTGTTTCCCTGCGTGAAAAGTGCCCAGGCAGCAGTATGGAATCACTGCGACCTCTGACCTTGTGTGCCAGCATCACTGCATCATGAGTCAGTCCAGAAATAGAGCTGTGTTTATAAGGTTAGCATGAGGACAGCCGTGACTTATGAGGGTTTGGTCGGGTCCCAGCGCCCTTCACTATCAGTGCACTTACAGGTACATCACAGAACACGAGGAACAGAGGTGATTTCTGTTCATGTGTTACGCACCAGGTAAAATGTTTGGTTTCTTATGGGAGATTTTGGCTGGTTCAGACTATATATACATGGATAATCAGTCACACTCCACATAAATACACAGGCAAGGTGCGGAAACTAAAACTGAACTGCTGAATCTCTGGTTTCTCTGCTGGAAGACCTTAAATGGCCCACACTGTGCTATTTTCTGATGTTGTTTCTTCATCACAAACAGACCTGGAGTTGTGTTTTGTTTGATTCACACATGTTTAACACACAAACCCTGCATATTTAGATCGAGTTCTTCTCTCAAACGAAAAACTGCTCGACTATGTTTTTAAACTCCTTACTTCTTCATTTGAATCACTTGGATCATTCTGAGCTTTGGAGACTAATAATAAAAGATTACTCAAGCATATGTGAATGAAACAAAACATAAACTTCAGGTATATTTTTGAGAAGGAAACAATATTATAACATGGCTTACAGCTCACAAGAGACAATTTTGTGTAATATAGAACCTTTAAACATGCTGAAGAAACTAGTATAATAAGCTACTTTTTATAGTGCTTACAAAATTAAAAATTCTATCTCTAATTTGATACTAAGAGAACAGAAATACAATTAAAAAGCCCAAAACTGTCTTAATTTTGACAAGAGGTTGTAATTTAGTTTTAGTATTCCTCTTTTGACTCCAATAATTTTAATTTTAGTCCAATTTTTTAGTCAAATAATTCTCGTTTTTATTGTGCTTTACAGCATACAAAATGAAAAACCAACTCTAGTTTGAATCTAAGGGAAGAAATGATGATAATGATTAAAAAGTCAAAAGACTGAGTCCTCATTTTGACAAGAGGTTTTAATTTCGTTTTTTGATTACAGGGAGTTTTAGCTTTAGTCAAGATTTAGTCAAATTAGTCCAAAAAAAGTCTAATTTTAATAGTGATTGCTTAACTCAAAAGAAAAATATATTTGACATCCAGTTTGTTTATGAGCCCTGAGACTGAAAAAGTTAAACTTTGATCTCCACTTGTTTAGAATTGATTTTATTATTTTAAAAAATCTGGTCTCTTAGCCACTGAAAATACACTTTTAATAGTTCTTTTACATAATTTTATTCATATTTTCAGTCATTATGATTACTATGATTCATTTTGGTTGATGAAATTAACACTGGATTAAACATTGCTTTTCTCCTTTAAATGAGAAACCTGCGTGAGGAGGAATAATTGAAAAGCCTCATCTCAGCAAAGTCCTGCCCTGTATCCTGCGTGTATTCTTGTACTTTGTGTTGTATGTGTTCCTGCATAGGACATACCACAGCATGTATTGGTGTACACATCCTGATTGAGGTGCTCTTGTACTTTGTGTTTTATGTGTTCCTGTAAAACACATACAGCAGCATGTACTGGTGTACGACAAACCAAATGGCCTGAATCAGGAATACGGAATTAAACAAAATGGCAAATATATTTCTGATGTAATTTACTTGCCTGATGATAACATACTGTATGATTGATGGAATTGGGTAATAGCTTATTCCTCTTCTGTCTGATGAGCTACTTTTACAAAACAAAAATGCCAGAGAGCTACTCATTTTAGAGGTCGGAAGAAACTGAGTAAATGGTGAGCCTTAGACGGGAACAGTTAGATGCCTATAAAGCATAAACCATTATCCATGTATTACTGCACAGATGTAGGCATTAAAAACTTTTGCATTTACAATGATAATAAGCATTTAATAATCAGTCAATTCAATAATAAATAATTCAGAAATACCTTGGCGAGCTACTTGGAAGGGGGTGGAGAGCTACTGGTTGGAGACCCCCAACTTATGTTATATGACGTCCAGGGTACATTGTGCTATATATTGTGTGTGTGGACATCTCCTTTGGTTCTCTTTTATATTGGCCAAACAATCAGTGGGCAGAAGGTCAGTATATATGGGAGTGGCCCACAGAGAGAACCATGACCTGACAAAGATCCACCGTTTGAAACATTGTTATTCATTAAATGCAGTTTGGGAGCAAGTGTGTAGGTTTAAGCTATGTTCAGACTGCAGCCTGAAGTGACCCAAATCAGATTTATTCGCCCCTATGCGACCTGTATCTTACAGTCAGAACGACACAGACCCGATTTTTTCAGATGTGAACCAGGCCATTTGGATACATGCTCCTAAAACTGATACATATCTGATCTTTTGACATGTGACTTCAGTCTGAACGGCCAGGTCGCATTCATCCCACCTACACGTCAGGCTCAGAGTCTAGTCAGTGGAGGAAAAGCGAGGTTAGCGAGTTAATTAATATTTGGGGCGATTGCCAAAGAAATGGCCGAGCGCAGCTACAGGCGGTCCTGGCTCCAATGTCAACGAAAAATAAAGAGCCTGTGAGTCAAATGTAAGGAGGCTAAAGACTCAAACAAACGAAGCAGTCGTGGACGTGTAACCTGTCCATTTTACAAAGAACTGGACCATATTTTGAGAGACAAGCCCGGTGTTTAGACTACTTCTGTAAACACTGAGCATGCTCGCTGCGTGTGACATTGTCGTGTTCTCCAATGCGCGTGTGGGACACTTTTGGGACATTTAAAGTTCACACTGGAGATCACATAAATGTTAAATTTTTAATTTGAAATGTAAATTACCTCACAAAAAAGACAGATTTCACAAAAAGATCTGAATTGAGGATTAAGCCCTGTAGTCTGAACCGAGTCTTTGTCTCACTTTCTATGTTTTTGTATTTGTATTTATTTATTTATTAAATGGACAATGCATATTAAAAGACAAGATAACGCAAGAGACAAACATGCACTTGTTAATATGCAGGATTGTAGTCAAAGCTAATTTCCATTGTTACTCCCCTTGGATCAAGGTCAACCACAAGAGCCACACAATTCATAAAACATGAACAAAGGTACAACACCCGCTCCCACATGAATCTCTCACTCATTCACTATAAAACACACTCATACAACATTGGTTTTCATTTCTGTATAGCACATATCCTGTATCCGTGTATTGGTGTAGCATGTACTGACTGAGATGTTCTTGTACTTTGCGTTGTATGTATTCCTGTACAGCACAAATACATACATGTACTGGTGTAGCACGTACCGATTGAGATGCTCTTGCAGCTGTCCCAGGCGCTGCTCCACCTCCCCGTAGGTGATTTCACTGGCCGAGCTCTCGTCCTCTCCTCTCAGCTCCGAGAACTGTGCTGACTCATGCAGGTAGTCTGTGGGCTTCTTACAGCTCCATTTATCACTGCACGTATCTAGGGAAGAGCCAAAGCAAACACGCGCCGTCCACATGTGGGCCAAAACAACGTCATCACTAAACAAAAACGCACCCCGGAAATAGAAGCTAATTAATCTCTACAGGAGGGTGGTGTGGGGCCATTTATCAAGGGCCCCGAACGCCGCACAATCGTTAGGCAATGTTTTCCAGCGACAAACTGTACTGGTGTTATCTTCGCCGGGCAGATGCGAGCATTCACGTCGTTGTCAAGCAAACGGTATTGTTGTGTGTGAGATGGGAGTTTGGTGATTCCAGATGGTTGGCTTGTAAAGATAAGGCCAGAGGGTTAAACTGGACCTGTTATGTAAGATCTACTTTTCAGTGTTCACTCAATGTTGTATTTTGATTCTTACATGTTTGAGTAGGGATGTAACAATGTCTAAATCTCTCTATGATATTATCACGATATGCATCTCACAGTACGATATTTACTGTAATATTTTGGCTAATAGAATTGTAGATATGACACTTTTTTGCTTTTAAAATACTTTGACAAGATTTGGTGTGAATTATTTCCGTCATAATGCCAAGAATTCAAGTAAAACCCATATTTCTTCATGTTGTCTGCACTGAAATGAATCATGGGATATGTAGTTCCTAGGGGTGTAACGATATCCAAGTCTCATGATACGATATCGTCACGGTATGAACCTCACGGTACGATATTTATTGCGATATTCTGGGAAAGCTCACGATATGGTGGGGAGGCTCACGATTAGGGATGTAACAATATCCAAATCGCTTGGTACGATATTTTCACGACATACATCTCATGGTACAATATTTATTGCGATACAAAAATCTTAATATGCTACTTTTTCCTTTTAAAATGCCTTGACAAGACTTAATCCAAAGAACTAAGACATAAAAGTGTTTAGAATTGTTCTTTCTTCTTGCAGTCTGCGCTGAAATGGAGCAAAGGATCATGGTCTATGCAGTTCCCTCTGAAAATTGTAATTCGATATATTGTGATGGTCTACGATATTATTGTGAGAACGCTGACGATACGATATCACGATATTTCGGTTATTGTTACATCCCTAATTCGTATTGTCCTGCTTTATTGTGTCTTCAGAAAATTTCACTTTTCATCTACCCCCTATCTCCAGCCTCTTCTGTGTATTTACTTTAGATTTTTTTTTTAATTCAAGACTCCTGCATTGTTAGGAATAGTTTTGTATTGTATTTCTATTTTCTGATCTATGTTATAATGTTGTTTCCTCATGAAAACATACCCGGAATTGTGTTTTATTTAATTCACACAGGTTTAACACACACATTCTGCTGATTTATTACACTCCATACACCTTCACTAAAATCATTTGGATTATTTCAGTCCTTGAATTGCTAATTTCAATTAAAGGAAATTAGATGTTAACTTGAAAACTACCAGCTCATGACATCACAAGCTGGAACAGGACATTTTGAGCTTTGGAGATGTGCACAGACTAATAATAAAGTGTTATGCAAACATGTGTGAATGAAAAAAACACAACTCCAGGTCTGTTTTTTATGAGGTAAAAACATTATAGCATCAATTTTGCGTCATATAAGACTTTAATGTAACCCAAACATCTGAGTATTCACTAATGGCATGATGTGAAAATGAGAAAAGTATTGATTTTAAGCCTGACAATCAAAGGTGGACAGATGTTTGTAAATGGGCGGCTTATGAGAAATGGGGTCAAAGCATTAGTTAAAGTCAGTGGTAACGAGGCGAACATTAGGTATATGTCGTCACATTTGATCTATGAAATGTCAGGCTTAGTCAATAAATACTGGGGTTGTTTGAGGTTACGCGCGCCTTTTGGTCATTAGCGGATTTAAGTCACTTTGTTGTAATAAATTGAGGCTAAGAACAAAATACTGTAATGCCTGCAGTTCTTAGAATATGTCGAAAGAGTCTGATTAATACTTGTGGAATTGTAAAATGCATGAGTAAACAGAAAACAATACTACTACAACAGTCCTGCATTGTTCAAAATACAGCAAACCATGTGAAAATGGAATGGGACAAAGACTGGAATTATAATTGGAAATTGGTTTCTTCATGACATTTCACTAATAACTGCTTTTGATTGATCAATACACAATCTTTTTTATGATCAATTACTGGATTAGGGTTATAAATAATGCACATTTGTGGTAATTTTCAATTCTTACAAGTCAAGAGTCAAGATGAAATGCATACTATTTATAATTGGGGATATAACAATAACATCGCAATAATATCGTGGACCATCACAATATATCAAATTACAAGTCTCTTTGCTTAAATTAAGAGTTATGGTGCAGCAATAGCTAAAAAAAAGACAGAGGGAACTACATAGACCATGATCCTTTGCTCCATTTCCGTGCAGACTACAAGAAGAAATAATAGTTCTAAGCATTTTTAAATCTTAGTTCTTTGGATTAAGTCTTGTCAAGGCATTTTAAGAGGAAAAAGTAGCATATTAATAGTTTTGTTATTCTCTACAAAATATCGCAATAAATACTGCACCGTGAGATGCATATCATGAAATTTTCGTATTCTGAGATTTGGATATTGTTACACTCCTAATCGTGAGCCTCCCCACCATATCGTGAGCTTTCCCATGATATCACAATAAATATCGTACCATGAGGTTCATACCGTGACGATATCGTATCATGAGACTTGGATATCATTACACCCCATTTACAATATCTTGAAGACTATAAGGTTTTTCCCTGACATTTTTATCCAAAAATGTGTTCATTGACACTTTCCTAAAATACGCTGCTACGTTAAAGCCTTTGCCTGGAATGTTCCACAGTGTGGCATTAAACTTATCAATCTTGAATTCATTCAACTAGAAACAACCAAGGATGTAACGATATCCAAATCTCTCGGTACGATATTATCACGATATACATCTCACGGTACAATATTTATTGCGATATTTTGAAGAGGCTGATATAACTGTAGATAAGACACATTTCTGCTTTAAAAATACCTTGACAAAATTTTGGTGTGAATCATTTCTGTCATAATCCCAAGAATCTCTCTTCATGTTGTCCGCACTGAAATGAATCATGGGATGTGTAGTTCCCTGTGTTTATAAGTTGTTGCTACTGTAAAACCATGCATTTAAGTAAAGGAAATTGTAATTTGATATACTGTGACAGCCCACAATATTATTGTGAGACTTTTGACAATACAATCAATCCGTATCCTTTAATAAGCAGCTTTTTGCAGAGATAGGAATTATGTATATGAATTTCTTCATTATTGTTATGGTATAGCCAATTTACAGACTGCAAAAAGTAATATCTAAGTAAGTTCAAATTACTTAAAGAAGAGTTTACTTGATTTGAGTACATTTTACTTGACAAATAAACTTATCTACCAGAGGAAAAGTATTTTTTTCTTAATTTAGTTGCTTTTTTGCTTATCTTCAGTGTAACTAGGTGTATTTTCCTGTTTCAGCAAAAAAGACTTGTTCCATTGGTAGATAATTTTACTTGTGATGTATCAATATAACTTTCTTGTAATATAATTTTCTTATCCAAGTCATTTTGACTTGGCAAGAATTTAGTTTTTGTAGTGAATTTTATATGGAACAAAAACAATCTCAAGGACACCCTCCATTATCACATCTTTCTGTAGTCCCTAGTGACATGTATTGTACCAGACGGTGGGGGTGGGTTTAAATAAGTTTTCTTCTTCCTACTCCTTTTTGGGCATTTTTTTGTTGTTCTTGTTCCTTTTATTGTCATTGATAATATCTCTAGAAAATGGTAACAAAAAAAAGAAAACGTGGCAATTCTTCAAACGAGAATATACGTTTTTGCTATTGAACTCTTCGGCTTTTGTCCTGAGGGATGCTACTCTCCTCAAACTGCCTTCACACCTGACATCTAATTTACCGCCCTGTTGAGCTGTACTTTTAAGATTTTTTTTTTCTTGTTTCTGTTTATATGACCGCACTGATGTCAATATGAATGCTATTATGTAAAAGAACATTATAAAAGAACGTGAAATGTTTACCTTTTGAAAATAAATACAAAAAATATACCTTGGTAGGAGGAGGTGCTGACCGGCAACTGCCCCATCAGAGGCACCTCGAGGGCAGGGGTATCTGGGGACGGTATAGCCAGCACATCTGAGTACCTCTTCAAGCATGAGTTAGACCCCTGCTCCCTCACCGCCTCCTTGTTTTCTGCTATATGGGACCACAATTAACACCAGTCAGGGCAAAAACAATAAAGCGAATTCCACTGGGACAAAGCTACCCTCTAGGGGGCGGCGTACAAAACAATAACAGTATTCTAATAAGGAGAAAATGCAGTGTAGGGGATGTGTAAGGATTAACCCACGTTTTGGGAGATCCGGGGTAAATGAGATTCTCCGCTTAATGGTCTTCGGGGCGTCGAAATCGGACTCGCAATCCTGTGAACCGGAGGCCTGCAAAATGAGGAAATGTGGAATGTAATTTTATGTAAAGAAGCGACTATATAATAAGATGCTAAGTCTGCTGTTAAAGTTTAAGGATATGCATAAGTACGTATAAGACTGTAAATACCTTCTAAACACAAACTTGGGGCACAGCTTTCAGACTATGAAACGCCAGCCATGTTTTTAATGCCTACTGTAAATAGATTTAAAGAATTTAAACAGTATTTTGGTCAAGACTGGAAGCATATATGCAGAAAATATAAGCAAATAAGGGACATTTTTAGAAGAATCAAAATTTTAAAGCTATATTAAGGTTGATTTTTGGTGTTGAAAATGTTCAGATGCTAGAATATTTTTGTTAAAACATTTTTTTTCTTCGTTAGTTTCCCATATTGGTGGTTGGTTTAGATTTTAATTCAAAACATGTTAGTACAAGAAATACTGAAATTCTATATTATTATTCTTTTGGGCCTTAGGCAGAGCATTATTTATGCGTGTTTGAGGATGGTGGGAGAAGACAGAGACTGGAGAGAACACAAAATAACAAATAGAAAACATTTCGACTTACTTAAAGGGCCAATATTATGCTGTGTTAGAAAGCTGTTTACTCCTCAAAATATATACCTGGAGTTTTGTTTTGTTTCATTCACACATGTCCTGCATATTTAGCTTGAGTTCTCTCAAACAGAAAACACTCTGTTCCACCTTGAGATGTTATGTGGTAATACGGTAATACAGGAAGTGCTCCACTGTGTTTTTAAACTCCATGCACCTTCACTTCAATCATTTGGATAATTTCAGTCCTGGAATTTCCTATCTCTACTGAACTAAACGTAAAAGGTAGCGACTATATAATAAGACGCTAAGTCTGCTGTTAAAGAAAGTTTAAGGAGATGCATAAGTACTTGGACTGTGAATAACTTCTAAACACAAACTTGGGGCACAGCTTTCAGACTATGAAACGTCAGCCATGTTTTTATGCCTACTGTAAATACAGTAGATTTAAAGAATTTAAACAGTGTGTTGATCAAGACTGGAAGCAAATACGCATTTTTCTTTGTTAGTTTCCCATATTGGTTAATTTAAATTCCAAATTCAAAACAAACTCATGGTATTGTCTTTTACTATTTTACTAAGAAATACTGAAAATCTACATTATTATTCTTTTGGGATAGTGGGAGAAGATAGAGAAGGGAAAGAACTCAAAATAACAAATAGAAAACATTTTGACTGATTTAAAGGACTAATATTACACTGTGGTATAAAGCTATTTACTCCTCAAAATATATACCTGGAGTTTTGTTTTGTTTCATTCACATGTTTAACTCACAAATCCTGCATATTTAGTTTCAGTTCTCTCGAACAGAAAACACTCTGTTCCACATTGAGATGTTATGTTGTTATACAGGATGTGCTCCACTGTGTTTTTAAACTCCATGCACCATCACTTGAATCATTTGGATCATTTCAGCCCTGGAATTTCCAATCTCTACTGAACTAAAGGTAAAAGGAGCTGTTTATTGGAAAACTACCGCTTCAGACAGACTAATAATAAAGGATTACTCAAACATGTGTGAATGAAACAAAATACAACTCCAGGCATGTTTTTGATGAGGTAACAACATTATAACACGTCTTAAAGTTCACAAGAGTAGATTTAACTAACCACTTTAATCACTCTCCCACTAATAGCTACACTACTTACTGACAGAAGTGAAACACATGTATTGGTATCTTTTTGCTATGATTTGGAACAATTTTGAAACATAGAAAATCTCGCAGAAACTAAAATCTAAAATAAAGTACCGTGCTACCTTCCGACCTCACAGGTGTTTTCATAATCTGTCTCTTCCTGTTACTCATCATTGTGTGTGTGATGTAACTGTGTGAATGTATTTTCTGCTGCCTGTCTTGGCCAGGACACGCTTGAAGAAGAGGTTCTTACTGAATGAAATAAAATTCAACATAAAAACAGGCTGTCTGATGGAGAATATTTACAAGCCAAGAATTTTCTGTTAAAAACATATTGTGCTTGTGCCTGCTATACAGTATATGAATATGCTATGGACAATTGGGTTATAATTTGCACATTTTAAATCGCAATTTTCAAACAACTAAAGCAATTTAATAAAAGAAATAAGTTGGCTATAACAGTTTTTAATTGTAAAGAGCATGTTAAAGTCTTTATACTATAGATAACAACAAACAATTATTAAAATAGTCAACAATTATATTTTAGCCACTATTCTTACAATTATTTCTTGCAGCCCTATTTGTGTCCAAGATGTTATCAAGATTTGTACAAAAAGGCAACAGAAGATAATAAAAAAGTATACCCCCTCTTTAGATACATGTAGTGAACACAGAGGAGAAACACTTTTGTCCTAAGGGATGTTACTCTCCTCAAACTGTTCTGACTGGATCTGAATACTCTGTTTGACTTAAGTTTGAGTTTTTATTATTTTTGTATTTTACTGCTCAGTGGGCTTAAATTGCCCTTTAAAGACAAATAAAGTGATATTGATTGATATGTTTGGATTTAAAATAGTCAACAAATATGTTTTAATGTAAACTATTCACAATTATTCTTTGTTATGATTTGTTGCAGCCCTATTTGTGTCCGAGAAGTTTTCAATATTTGTATAGAAAAGCAACAGAAGACATAATACCTCCTCTTTAAATATATGTAGTGGACACAGAGGAGAGACACTTTTGTCCTGAGAGCTTTTACTCGCCTCAAACTGCCCTGACACTGGATCTGAATACTCTACCTGTTTGACCTAAGTTTTAGTTTTTATTCCAAGAGGTTCACAAGATTTGTATAGAAAGCATGACTGACCGATATATTGCTTGGCCAATATATACGGTCGATATTTGCACTTTTTAGCATATCAGATATTGGCTTTAAATCTACAGGACAGGCTGATTGTTAGTTTTGGCTGACCTGCTGCCTAAAGAATATATGTAAAGCTTTATTTTAACACTGTAGTGCAGAGGGATAACTGCACAAAACATGACTACACAGCACTGTTATAGGTTTGTGGTGGAAAAAAAAAAAGAAAAAAGCTGTGGATGAGTATGTAGTAGAGATGGGACTTGGCACAATTTCCACAAGATGAGATGAGGTACAATACCGGGTCCACGAGAAGGAGACAAGACGAGAGTTTAACATAATTCTGAATATATAAATTTCTGTTTCCAATTTTGGCCTCACATTTTTTTATTTTGATTTCATATTTTTGTTTCCATTCTAGTACTGATTTTCGGTACTGTTAGAGATATAACTCATCAACATGTAACACTTTTTTGTCAAATCCAAATGTAAATACTAGGGGAAAAAATCAAATTTTTCTTTTGTATGCACGATCTTGAGGCAATTTTGTCTCGCGAGATCTTCTGACATGAGATCTTGTACCATCCCTAGTAAATTTAAATAACATAAATTTGGGAAAGATAATATAAACATCAACTCAAAAATATCAACAAATTTCATTGGTCATCAGTTGCTCTGGATTCTAAACAAATGGTATCAGCATAGGCCATGAAAAAAACCCATATTGGTCCATCTCTAATACAAAGACAACAGAAAAGATAAAACTTTTTTCATCCCTACCTGTACGGGATCGTCTCTTAGGTTAAAAGTCAGCTCTAAGTTGTTGAAGAAGTAATCAGCAAACTCCGGGTACATGTCTAGCACCTCCAGCAGGTCCTCCCTCTGGATGGTGCTCAGGTCACAGTAGCTCAAAGCTCTCACGTCTGCGTTTGCTTTACCGGGTTTCGCATACAGGTGGATCATCTCCCCAAAGATGTCGTTTTTACCTGCAAAGACACATACAAGTACATAACAGATCAATATTTGTACCAATAGTTGTTTCCCTTAGCTCCGAAGTGTATATTGATATTTGTGAAAAAAGACGCTGTGTACTGTCTGCATCATATAATGAATCATTTTTATTGATCTCAAACCTGGTGCTGGTATGTGCTTGGACCACGACTAATGCTTTAAATTCAACTTCCTCCATCACTATTGCTGTTTGAGAATGGAAGAATTGGGTATAGTAGTAATAATATACTTAAAGTCAGCTATTTTCTGATCTGTTATAATGTTGTTTCCTCATCAAAAACATACCTATTTTGTTGCATTCACACATGTTTAACACACACATCCTGCATATTTAGGCTGAGTTCTTCTCTCAAACGGAAAACACTTCACTCACTTCCACCTTGTGATTTCATGTGGTAATACAAGAAGTGCCCCAGTGTGTTTTGAAACTCCATATATCTGAGGTGCCCAATATGACGATCGCCATCTACCAGTCGATCGCCAAGGTAGTGTGGGTAGATCGTACTGTCGTAGTACTCGAGACCGGTCTTGGTCTCGAGACCTTATTTTATGGTCTTGGTCTCGTCTCGGACTCAGCCACATTTGGACTTGGTCTTGTCTTGGTCTTGAAGGCACTTGGCTCAGACTCGAGGTGTGACACTCGACGAATACAATCATATTTCATTACAGTTGCCGCTGCTGTCGGCAGTAAAGGGGCATGTCTGTGCAGCCTGTCCGCTCGTCTGGAGCCTGCGGACACTGCGTGGCACATCACCACACGCGCTCTCCCAGCGTGCGGGTCTTGTCCGCTACAGTGTGTGCACTCGTGTACCATTATGTATCACAGGGCGGGTTAAACTTCTTAAAACATCCTACCTGTCCATCTGCCTCACTTCAGCGCACCACTCCTCGCCTTTTCATGCTCTCGCTCCTCCCTGCGTATAGCGTACATACTAAACTCATCACGCGTACATACTAAACTCATCACTAGAGTCATTTGGATAATTTCAGCCCTAGATTTGCAAATCTCTACTGAACTAAAGGTAAACAGGAGCTGTTAACTTGAAAACTACCGCTTCATGACATCACAATTTGGAACAGAATATCTCCAGCTTTGAAGATGTAGACAAACTAATAATAAAGGATTACCCAAGCATATGTGAATAAAACAAAACACATAGAAGGTAGAAGGTAACAGCATTATAACCCCACTAAAAGCTCACAAGAGTCAGTTTTGTATAATAAAGGTCCTTTAAAGTCCATTGATTAACCAACACACCAAAAAGGTCTAATTACTGGGCTTCATATTTTATTTTTAGACTGGATTTTTCCGCAACTCAACCACAGTGAAGTAATTTCCCTTGCGCATCAATCAAGTCTAAGCCTGTTTAAACCTGGAGAGTCCTTATGGGAAAAACACATTAGACTTGCAATGACATTCTCTGACATGTTTTCCTATTTAGTACACAGCGGACTACCACTCTCCCACTGCTCGACCAAGGCATGTTTATTTTGGCGTTTAATTGAAACCAAATAACACATTTTCTCACTATAGACAATCTCTACAGACTTGTACCGCCTGGCTTTGATTCATTATGTATGCCAGAGAGGAGCTACGAGTACTTTCATGTGAGGAAAAAAGCTGATTATGACGGCTGCACTTGACGTTATTGTGCGCTTCAAAAGAAAGAGTCTTGATTAGAAAGGCAATGGTGGTAATGAAGCTTCACCCAAAAGTTAGCGGAAGTAGGATCGTTTATGACAAACTTTGATTTTAAATGGTGATGTTGGATGTGAGAGCGGAGGTGAAAAAAGAGAAGAGAATATGTTTTGTAGTACAGGAACTAGGAATGTAGCCTACTTGAACTTTGAATAGTGATTTCCTAGAGTAGAAGTACTTTGATGTAGTAATTTCCTAGAGTAGAAGTACTTTGATGTAGTAATTTCCTAGAGTAGAAGTAGAAGTAATGGTAAAAATGTTCAATTACAGTGTTTCAATAGGGTGTGACAAATTTAACTTTGCATTTTTTTTTACTTCTTAAGATTTAAATTCATAAAGTATAAATTAAATTAAGTAAGTATTAAGTAAAGTATAAATTTTCTGTTTCCAATGAAATAGTTTTGCTTTGAATATTCCACAGTGTGGTACTTCAACTATCTATCTCCATGGAAACAAGCAGATGACGCCACCGTGCCAAGATACAGGTCAGATGTGGAAAAACAAGTCCACTCACAGTAAAAATGCATGTTTTCAATGTGTTTTTAGCAATTAAAAACACATGTAATTGAAAAAATGCAAGTTATAGGCCTACTGTGGAATATTCCAGGCAAAGCAATAATATCTTCATGGAGACAAGCAGTTTGCAGATCCTCCAACAGAAAAGTTACATAGTGTACCTTTAAAATGCATGGAATATTGTATGAAGCATCTCTTTCTACAGTTATGACATGGCTTTTAACATTATATAGGCAATGTCACTAAACATTAAAATTCATTGTATCTAGTACTATCAAGTAAGACAAATATTTAAAAAATATAAAATGTTGCTTTTGTTGGCTGTCAGAGCATCTTTTGTGCATCCTAATTGTTTTTTCAGTCACTGATAAGAAAATATAGCCTGATTCATCAGCTGGTTTCACTTCGTGGAAACTGTCTGACCTCGCAGCATTAGGATTTGTTTGCTCGATAGTAGGCAGGTAGTTTTTTTTATTTAACCATTCGCTGCTGTTTGGTCGTGACATATGCAATGCGCCAAATCCCGTAGGAGGAAGGGTAATAACTTTCCCCTTGATAAAATTCACCAAACATTCTCTTTGTTCCGCTTTTAAATCCTCGATCTCGGGAATCGTTGCCAACACAGAATGTATGGCTTCTTCTGCATCCATCTCAACCGCTTTGTTTACTGTTGTGTTGTACCACAAAAGGGACCCAGGCAGGCACTTGAGTTTGATGTCATGGTCTTCACAGTTCTTCGCTGATTGGCCGGTGCGCGGTCTACAACATCCGGGTTCTTGCAAACCATCTAGAGTATTTCGATTCCTGATTTAGTCGCTGGAAAAAAATGAAATTGAGCAGAGGCACTAGGTGGCGCCCACCTGGTTAGAGAAAATCCATCATATTAGTAATTCTATCCATTTGGCTACTCTAAAGTCCAAGTAAACATAATCCTGTAACTTTGAATATAGCCATTATAATTGTGAAATCTATCTACAGCTTCCTTCTCCAACAGTGTAAAATGAATGAGATGTTGGGATTGCCTTAAGCTCCAATTAGACTGTATGTATTTGAGGCTGGTGTAGTTTACAGGAGTCCAGAGGTGGTTCAGAGTACACAGATAATATCTCTGTGGTCAGTGTGGCTTTCACTGTAGGACCACATGCAGAGCTCCGTCCTCTCAAACACAAACACTCATTAGGTTGCACACACATTAGGAAGCTGTGTTTACTAGTGTTTCTTCTGCTGAATAATGACATGAAAATTATGAATGAACAGAATTTTACTACTGTATTTGGGTCACGTTTTCCAGCTCCTCCTAAGCTCCAGCTGCTGGCTCTGATTGGTCAAACGGTGTGGCAGATCATTGGTTAGAGCACAAGTCATAGGAGTAGTCTATGTCAATAACAGTGATTTTGTATAGTCTTTGGGGCTTTCACACCTATACCATTTCATCTTTAAAGGTCCTATATTACACAAAATTGATTCTTGTGAGATTTAGGTCATATGCTGTTACCTCCTCACAAACAAACCTGCAGTTGTGTTTTGTTTCATTCACACATCTTTGAGTAACGATTTATTAAATGCTCTGTTCCACCTTGTGATATGATGAAGCTGTAGTTTTCAAGTTAACAGCTACGTTTTACCTTTAATACATGCATCCCAAATTTCGGACTTCTGTTCATCGCACAATGAATACTGGGAGGGATTCTCTGAAAAAGTGAGCATCAAACCACTATGTTTGATTTCCCAGTGGGATGTGTCTATTGTCAAAGTCGATCTTTTCAAGTCTTTTGAACCATATTGCTTTTGTTTCTGGTTCTGATATTTGCATATTTTAGTTTTGGGATTCGGACATCGTAATTGTGTGGTTGTTGGATGCATGTGTTCAGTTGAGATCAGCAGTTCCAGGGAAGGAATCATCCAAATAGTAGTAGTAGTTTTTTATTCTGTCATTTTACAACACTATAAACAAAACAAAACATAGACTACAATCCCATAGATCATGACTGAGGATTCAGGCCAGGGGTGTCAAACTCAAATTCACAGAGAGCCAAAAATAAAAACTGTGACTAAGTCTTGGATCAAACTAAATATTTATTGAGAAATTTCAACAATATCTGCATGTTTTCTCTTCTTTCGAGATATGTAATGTTAAACCTATTCTTATTAAAATGAATGTTTAATAATAGTTTTGCTTAAACACTGAATCCAGAACAAGCAAAATATAAAATAATAACACAGTTTTAAATAAATAATGTCTCTATAGCCTATCTGTAGCGGGAGGGCCAGCTCTAATACATATTTGATATGATCTCACGGGCCAAATATGATTATAACGAGGGCCAAATTTAGTCACCAGGCCTGAGTTTGACATGTCTGGTTTGGGTAAAAGGTACTTATAATGCCTAACTCTTTTAAACAATGACAGAATTCCAAGAAAAAAACAGTGTATGAACAGCAAGTTTACATTTACAGTTTTACTTACGACTTACTGTATATAAAAGAGATAAAATATAAATTAAAACAAACAAAATTGAATGCATAATTCATTCCAGAGCTCTATATAGCTTTGAAAACAAGTACTTTTAACTTAACAAAAACGATTGTAGTGAGGGTTATGGAGTTTAAAAACACAGTGGAGCACATGACATTATAAGGTGGAATAGAGTGCTTTCAGTTTGAGAGAAGAAGTCAGCCTAAATATGCAGGATTTGTGTGTTAAACATGTACGAATGAAATAAAACACAACTCTGGGTCTGTTTGTGACGAGGAAACAAC